GACGTAAAAGGCTCAAAATAGGCGACGTAAAAGACCCTTGGTGTACTAGTGAAGGATCACTTCTATCACTTTAGAAGCTTCCTATCTTTAGATTTACATCCCGGACAGAAACTAATGTCTACAAGTTAATAAGGAGAGAGAGAATAAATATGAACCTCTGAAGCAAGCTTTTATAATCAAGTCTTTAAGAATGTTGGTACCAGGGCGTGTTTTGGCAACTTTTCACTCTACAAAAGTCTCATAGACACTCTAGAATGTGTGAAGAAAAGAGAAAGAATGATTCTAACAGAGATTTCCTAGCTATGTGTGAAATGTGGAAGATTGAGCCCTAGGCACACTTATATAGACACCTAGGAACAGGGAACAACCGTTTCCAACCTTGGAATGACCGTTCTAGGCTTTAAAATAGAAATGGGTTAGGTTTTGCGAATAAACTATTCCAAATTAGGGTTTTAGTGCAAAATTTCAGTTGGGAACGACTGTTCCAGGTTTGGGTAGGGTCATTCCCAACTAGGAATTCCTATACAAAATTTGATTTGGGAATGGCCGTTCCAAGGGTGGGAATAACTATTTCATGCCTTGATCCCTAGCTTCGAGCCTTCTGGGCCTCCTAGTGCTGTCCTAGTCTGTTTCGGTGCTTTATTGGGCCCTCGAGGACTACTCTTCAAGTCCTAGTGACTTTTTGTCCTTAATGAGGTGACCTAGACGAAATCTGGTATCTACAAGAAAAATATAAAAGAATACCTAATATTTAAATAGTTAAATCCAAAAATGCAATTAACTATTGACTAAGTGTTTTTTTTGTCAAAAATAAGATTTAGAAGCATAATATATATGAATAGTTACCTAAATTAAATATAAAATTGTATGCATATTTGGAAATTATTGTTAATCACAAGGGATACGAAGCTTGAAGGTTCAGTTTTATGTCATGGGTTTTGCTCTGATTAGTTTGATACATCAAGGCTAGTGGAGAAAAAATGCAATTAACTATTGACTAAGTGTTTTTTTTGTCAAAAATAAGATTTAGAAGCATAATATATATGAATAGTTACCTAAATTAAATATAAAATTGTATGCATATTTGGAAATTATTGTTAATCACAAGGGATACGAAGCTTGAAGGTTCAGTTTTATGTCATGGGTTTTGCTCTGATTAGTTTGATACATCAAGGCTAGTGGAGATTCAGTTTAATTTATGCACTGAACTTAGTGTTTTTTTTTTATTATTATGTTTCATTTTCTTGAAGTTTTGTAAAGATTAGTTTGTGCCTCTATTTATGAACTTATACTTTATTTTTTTCCTTTTTATGCTATAAAGTTTTTATTCAAGATGTGTGAATTCTTTTATAATATAAATAAAAAGATTTGTTTTATTTAATCTTACTTAATAAATGTATTTTCTTAAAAATATCACATTTAAACATTTTAGGGGTACACAAAGGTGTCACAGCTAACAATATTGAGAAGAAAGTGGATTTAGTGTTGCATTCTTTCTAATAAAGAAAATTAATCATAAAATTAATTTAATAAAATTATAATATTTTTTCATTCATTTATTAATTTTTCTTAATTAGTATAAAATAATTTAAAATAGTACTTATTAAGACATCAAGGGAGTAATGTACTAAAAAAAACTTAAATTCATAATATAATACTAATTAATGAATATACAATAATCAATAACAAAATACATTAATTACTTATTAATAACACCATTAAAATTCATTATCATTAATCGTTGAATGTTTAATGATAAATGTGCATTTAAAATCCACTTTCTATTAATTAAATATCATAACTAATTAAAGTAAGTCAAAGTTTAGAAAAATAATTAATGACTAATTTTTCTTTATTATTTCTGAATTACCACTACTAGAAAATTGTTATTTTCCTGCAAATTTTCCTACAAAAAAATATTCGCATAAATTTTTTGCGAATTTTCTTGCAATCATAATTTTACAAAAAAAAATTTACGAATTTATTTGCGAAAAATAATTTACAGGTATTTCTTATAAAGTTTTTTATGAAAAATAATCTACAAGAAATTTTTGCAAATTTTGCTACAACTTTAATGATCATTGAAATTTTTTTCCATGGTAAAAATTTGCAGAAAATATTGTAAGAATTTTATTTTGTTTCTTGCATATTTTCTTGCAAAAATAAATTTGCAAATAATGTTTACTAAATTGTAGAAAAATTTCGAAGGTAAATTTTCCTGCAGATTTTCTTGCCAATTTTAATCCGTAGGAAAAATCAAAAAAATATTTAAATTTATAAGTTTAATATTTTAAAAAAACTTCAACTCTCAAATCGATTGAAAATGAAACAATTAAAAAGTATATAAGTTGGGGTAACACTTATCTTACAAGTTGATTTGCATGGTTGAGTGTTAGGCTTATAATTTACAATCTTAGAGTTTAAAAGATTATATATCACATGTAGGAGACGTGTAAACAAATGTTTCGGATGAATTCATTGTGAGCATTTGAAAGTTGAAAAATTATTGATAGAATTTGTAGTAATTTCTTTGATTTGTAAAAAATATTTCTGCAGAATTTTTTTCGCAAGAAATTTTGTAAGAAAATTTATTGCAAATTTTAAAATTCGCAATAATATATTATCCACGAAGGTATTACCTGCAGATAAAATGTCGCAGAAAAATTTGTAGGAATAATGTTTGATGTGAATTTTAATACAAAATTCGCATGAAAAATCGCATGTAATAAGAAAAATTCTAATAGTGTACTTTTCTCTCATTATTAATTGCGGATGAAAATTTCTTTGTATGTAAACCTATGATTTCCTTCAATATTATAGCCCACTACTCTTCTTATTCCTAAGGACTTTCACCCAGAAAAAGAAAGAAAAAAAAATTTAAGAAAAAAAAATCTTGCCTTTCTGTTTCAGCCTTGTTAAAGATGCAAAGGCTAATCACTGGTCTTTTAGTTCTTGCTTTTGTTTCACCATATTTGTGTATTAGTTCATTTGTTGGAACCACAAACACAGTTTATAATGTAATAGACTTTGGTGCTATTGGCAGTGGCACTGTTGATGATTCGCAGGTATGAGTTTTTTTTCCTCAAAATTTAAATTAGGCAATACTCGGAAATTTCACACTTCTTTATAGGGAGAAGTTTAATTTTGCTATCTTGGTAAATACACATTTAATAGATTTTGTAACCAATCTAGATTGTATTTTGACTTGATGGTAGGCGTTTTTAAAGGCATGGCAGCAAACGTGTGGAACACAAGGGGACAATACTCTACTCATACCAGCAGGAAAAGTGTTCCTGGTGAATAGCATCACAATGAGTGGTAATTGCACAGCTACGAGTATTTCTATTCAGGTATAGCATTCAACTTGTGACTGAAATTTTGATATATTTTTTATGTAAATTTTTTAATCAGGTATTTATTTGTGCAAATTCAAATTAATTAAAATTCATGCATTAAAAACGACAATGATCCTCTATTCATATATTTTTTTATCAAACGAAATTAGGATTCTGTATATGTACTAGATCGATTTTAGTGCTTCTCCTCTTTTTATATTTGGTTTCCATAAAATGATACAATTATACAATATCGCAAGTTTAAAAAAGAATTAATGGATTCTACGTTTCATTATATAAGATGTTTTTCCCGTGTTTTCATGGTAATTTTGTTCTCCAATAATCCTTCAGAATATGTATATAATAATTTTATATTTTGATATCCCCTCTCTTATTGCATTGCAGCTTCAAGGGGAAATAGTTGCACCGACTAAGAATGCATGGGTTGGAAATAGCCTCAATTTAATTATGTTCAACAAGGTAAACGGTCTCACAATTGATGGAAGTGGAGGATTAATTGATGGAACGGGTTCTACTTGGTGGGGATGCAATTGTCCACGACCAGCGGTTTGACTATTATAAACTTCCCTCTCCAATATAATATACATTTGCTTTTATAAATTGGTATCGATATTTAAATAATCAAATCATTGTTTTTTAAGATGTTATTAATTTTAAATTCGCTCTACCTCGGGCTACTTCAATGCACTTATGTATGTATATTTAACCAAGTTGGTAACGAAGTTATCATGCAGAGAAATTCTAGGTCTCACTTTCTAATTAATATTTTCTTTACTAAAAATCTTAAATTTTGGTTAGACATAAACAATAAACTCACAAAATTTATTAATTTAATAAATTTTAACTTATAACAAGAATAACGCTAAAAAGATAGAGTTGCCGGCACCCACATTTCTCGTGTCATACATATGTAAAGTTTCTCTTTTCTAAATAGTTGTTTTTCATTGTTAAATTTGTGAAGAAGGAACAATTAAAGGTTGTTACTTTCCCATCTTTCCATGGGACACTACATTGGCATTACTTATGCCAAGTTTAGTAATAATTAATATAAACTTTGGCTTATAAGAAAATGATAAGAGATGGAAAAATGAAACAAGATAAAATTAATACGGAAGAGAACTCATACGTATGAATACAATAATAAATAAATAATCATTTAATGTGTGGATGAATTTTTCATGCGATGATGCAGGTCCTTACTTTCCAATCATGCAATAATCTTAGCGTTAAAAGTTTGACAATCATAAATAGTCCAAAAGCTCACATTCATATAAATAGCTGTATGGGTGCCATATTCTCTTATATCAATATTAGTTCACCTGGTAACACTCCCAACACTGATGGAATTGATATTTATTATTCACAAAATATCCGGATAGAAGATTCCACTATAGCATCTGGTAAACTTAAGTTTTCATGTTATGTACATTAAATTTCATTGTAGTGTTTTACAATAATTACTATATTCACAGTTTTAATTAATTTATATTTTTCTAAATAGGTGATGATTGTATTGCCATCACTGGTGACTCCTCTTACATCAATGCTACACGAATTGCTTGTGGACCAGGTCATGGAATAAGGTTTGTATAAATTGTTCTTAATTTATCCAGTGTGTGTGGACACACGCATGCAGTTGATATATCTTCAATGTAACGCACTTAATATCAAAATAATAGTTCAATATTTCAGTTAATTATCACATACATGCATGTGATGGTCAAACTACAAAGTGTCTCTTTGTTTAAATAAACTTTTTTAAAAAATTATTCTTGACTTTTAACATTTTTTTTATCATTAAACATGAACAAATTAATCAGCATTGGCAGCCTAGGTAGAGACGATGCTTATAATACAGTCGAAGAAGTTTACGTACAAAATTGTAGCTTCACGAACACTAAAAATGCAGCAAGAATCAAGACATGGCCGGTAAGTAATACAGTGGTGCCAGTGTATCCTATATATATATAGCTATTCTGTTTTGATTAATTATATATTTTGTACCCTTTCTAAATCTATTGTTTTACTTCATCTCAAGCCATGTAATTATGTATACAACTGTGAGTAGTAACACATTACATAAAATTATTTTGAATCCTGTAAAAATGATTTAGATATGTACGTACTTGATAAAACAAAGAATCAAATGCTAAGGAAATACTCTAATGATTGGATCATAAAGGAAAGTAAAAGAAAATAAAATAACTATACTATTTGAAAGTTTTTTTTTAATATATTTTCCAATTTTTAACAGAATGGATCAGGTTTTGCAAAGAAAATTACTTTTGAGCAAATCACATTGAGCCAGAGTGGGAATCCTATACTTATAGACCAATACTACAATCAATATTTAGTGGTAATCACATCTTAGCTTTACATTCTTATTATATTTTGTGATTTGAACTTAATTTCTCCCCCATTTATTTCATAATAAAGTTGCATTTTGAATTTTTCCTAATTAGCAAGAAGGAGTGCAACTGAGCGAGGTGACATTCAGTGGGTTTCAAGGAACATCGGCAACTGACCATGCTATTACCTTAAATTGTTCCTCATCAGGTTGTTTCAACATTGTATTGGATCAGATTAACATTGTCTCTTCTAAACCAGGAAAGCCGGCTTACTGTTCTTGCATTAATGCTCATGGAACAGCTACAGATACAGTTCCAGATTGTTCTTGTTTATCGACATGAATTGTTTGTTATCTTCATCCATGTAAAAGTTAAATGATTATAAGTAACATTTATCCCTTATAATTTAGGGGTGATGTTAATAAAAGTTTAGATAGTTATCTATAACTTCTATGTTAACTTAATCATTTCTTATCATAACTATATGTTATCTTTACATATAACTTGATCATTTCTTAATTAACATAAATTATAATTTCAAATGTTTACTTTTCAACCCAATACATAGAGCTCTTATCACTTACTCACATAGAGATAAATCAACTAAATATTGAGACATATTCACATGATCATAGTTTTCATAATCAATCAAATCACACTAAAATTCCCAAATCATATATACAATTCAACCCCCAAATCACATAACAATCTAAATCAATCATCACATTATGAATTATAAAAGCAAAACAACAATCAATCACCAATCATGCTAATATGCATCTACACACAATTTAACTAACAATCTAAAAGGCTTAGAAATTGTATCACTACCCATACCTCATATGCACCGACAAGGTTAGACATTGTCACTACTTTTCTTACCTTAGATGATGATCTCCAAGGCAACAAAAACAATCTCCATTGTCTTGAGGCTTACTCCTCAGGGTTTTTCTCTAGGTTTTTTCTTTGTAGACATTCTTAGGGTTTAAAAACTAATACATATGACCTAACCCTTCCTCCTTTCCAATATTGATAAGACTTCTTGAATTGGGCTTATAAGAGTCCAACCCAAACTTTTCCTTCTCTTCATAGTCCTTTTTATTTTATTTTATTTAGTAAAATATTCTAATTATATTAATAACCCAAATAGTTTAATTAGCTAAGTTAGAAAATATAATTATTTTATTAAGCACTATTTTGTTTTCTTTTATGAAAATTGGGATATTAAAAAAGGTGTCATCCTCAGCATGCCATCCACAAAGCACACCCTCCAACCTAATCTTGATCTACTCTTATAATAAATATGATGATAGTAATCCAACACATAGAAAAGTAAGGGTAAATTTGTGAAAGAAAAAAAACATCATATCATTGTTTATAAGAAGTAAACAACTTTAACAACATTTACAACATAAGCAACAAATCAACTTTACAACTATAAAGCATAACAACAACTTATACCGTATGTCAACAACTTAACAATAACTACACAACTAAACAACTTAAAACAACTAAACAATATTAATCAATTGAACAATTGATGCATCATTATGCTTGTTAACATTTGGAGATCTCTTACAACTTAGTGAGCAGTTTAAGTGGCTTAACCTACCGAATCACAATGGTTGACATGGTGAGCAGAAATAATGGCTGACATGGTGAAGAAAAATAACGACTAAAATGGTGACCAATGTTAAGTCAGACAAAAAAATTCTCAACGAAATTTTGAATATGACAAATATAACACATATTGTTATTGCTAACTTGTATAGTAGTGTTTCAGATAAGTATAAGAACAGGCAAAACTAAAGGATGAAGTAGGGTCAAGCAAAACAAAGATCGGAAAAATCAAGTCAAATAATATAATAAGGATCATGACTTGCGCACCAGACGACAATAAATATCAAACGAAGATATGCCAAAACAATCCAGAGTGCAATATAAGAAATCAAAAACAAGAGCAAAACAAATGAAGAGAAGAGAATTGGTGAAGAAGACTCCCTAAGCTATGGATGGAAGTATCCTAGCCAAAAGAACCAAATGAAAGCTCACTTCAAGTGTAGGAAAGTTTAGGGATTCCTAGAACTAAAGGAGACTTTCGGTGACCTTTGAGAGAGAATAGGCTGAATAAACTTTTCAGAATTCTCTATTGATTTAAAAGTCTTTCCAAAATTGAAGGATACAAGCATATAAAGCCACGGATCAAGGAGCCACCACTAGTGGAAAAATAGGATACTACGTCACCCATTTTACGTCGGATATACAAAGAACCAACGTAATAAAAGCGTGGTGGCACGTTTCGTAATTTTCTTAAATTATTTATGTCGGACCTCTAAGGGTCCGACGTAAATTTTAACATCTACGTCGGCTATTCATTGTGTCCGACGTAGATGTCAAAATTTAAATCGGACCCAATTAGGGCCGACGTAAATAACCCTCAGGATGCTTAAAAGAAGGTGTCTTGCGCGCACTAGCTAGTTCAAAAATTTCATGGCTTCCTTCTCCCGCCTCCTCCTCAAATCGTCCACTTTCTGCTATGTTTTTCTTCCTCATCCCTCCGCCTCCTCCTCAAATCGTGGCTGTTTTTCTTCGCGTGATGATGTTTTTCTTCTTCGGAGGGTTGCGTTTTTCTTCTTCGGAGGGTTGCGTTTTTCTTCTTCGAAGAGTTGCGTTTTTCTTCTATGAGGTAGTATCTTCTATCAAGTTTGTGTTTTCTGGGATGTTTTTTTTCGTAATAATGTTTCTGTTGCATTTCGCGCAAGATACAAGTTACACATAGAAACTCAAAAAATCTTGGAGCATGTTAAGGACTAATTATCATGCAAGGTTGACTTCTAAGATGGACATATATGGTTCCGCCAGCCACAAGGAAAGAGGTGTCATGCATCATTTTTCATGTTTCATGCAAACCAAGGTGTGTCATGCATAGATTTTGAATTTTAAGGAGAAAGAAAAATAGAGGGAAACATAACTTTGACAAAACTTGGATGAGAAAAGATCAAAATAGAGTTCATGTAGTGTTCAACATGTTCATCATGTTCTTGAAACAAAAATTTCCAGCCAAGAAAAAATAGAGAAAAGCACAAAAGAACCTATTTTAAGAGAAATCTAAAGGAGAACAAGGAGGCTCATGAACAAGTAATGAACCACTCAACAAGAACACAATATTTCAAGAAATATTTGAGAAGGAAACATCAAAGATAACATCAAGACATGTAAGAATACAAAGACATGACAAGGAAAAATTTTAAAGACACAAGAGAAGGAAACAAGTCACCCTTGAAGACAACCATGGCTCTTGATACCACATGATGGGCCCCTTCCTTCCATGGTGTGTTCTTTGGCTTCCAAGGAGGAGCTCCCTCTTTATCCACGGAATAGGAAGAAGGATGATCGCTGGATGTTCCTCAAGGGTGGTGGAAAAACAATATTGAAGGGTGGAGGTGAAGGTGGACGAAAATGGAGGTGGGAAGGTGGAAGGTGTTTTTGGTGCTCTTGGCTAGCTCTCTCCACCAAGGGTTGGTGGAGGCCACTCAAGGGAAACTCAAACTCTCTTTAGGGTAGAGAGGAGAGGAGGTTGGGCATGAGGACCCTAGGAGACTAAGGAAGGATTTTGAGGCACAAAGGCTCACTCAAAATATATATATTCCAAAGTGGGGGTGGAGGGACTAGAGTACTTATAGAGATAGGAGAGCATCCTAGGGTTTATTGGGAGTATTTGGCCGAAATTTTCAAGTCCAAATGCACCCTAAATGAACCCTAGATGCAACCCAAATGAAATGGCTCTCATCTCTCCAAAAAGACTAAAGTACCCTTAGTCCTAGAAAATGAAAGAAATGGACTTTTGACCTTACTAGTCAAGGTTAAGTCCCTAAATAAATCCTAAGCCTATTTTTGCCCCATAATACAAAGGCTAAATAAAAATACACAATAAAATCCTAATAGCTAATGTACCCCAAAATACAAGGGCAAAATAGGAAAGGAAAGCAACAAGCTAAGGAGAGGGCCCAAAATCCACACACATGATGATCATGGCTTTTGGTGTGGTGTGTTCTTCATCTTCCTCTACTCTCCTAGCCATGGACCTTGTGATAGGCCCTATATGATGTCTCAAGGATGGTCCTCCATCATCCCCTCCTTCTTGAGAAGGATTTGACCTCAAATCTTCAACCTCATCCATGTCATTAGTCCCTACAAAAGGTGTAAGATCACAAACATTAAAAGAGGAACTAACTCCATATTCGGAGGGAAGGTCTAGGATGTATGCATTGTCATTAATCTTCTTAAGGACTTGGAAAGGACCATCTCCCCTAGGGCTTAGTTTGGACTTCCTTTGAGTAGGAAATCTATCCTTCCTCAAGTGAAGCCAAACCCAATCCCCAACTTCAAAAGTCACCTTTTTCCTCCCTTTGTTGTTGTATTTGGCATATTTTTCAGTTTGTTTTTCAATTTGGCTCTTGACTTTCTCATGGTATTTTCTTATAAAGTCAGCCCTTGATACTCCTTCTTTGTGATACAAGGAAGTAGTATTAGGGAGTGGGAGCAAGTCAAGAGGGGTAAGAGGATTCAAGCCATATACAACCTCAAAGGGAGATAATTTAGTAGTCTTGTGGACTACTCTATTGTAGGAAAACTCTATATAGGGGAGGCATTCATCCCAAGTCTTCTTGTTCCCTTTGAGAATGACCCTTAACAATGTGGATAAGGATCTATTCACTACTTCGGTTTGTCCCTCGGTTTGTGGGTGGCAAGTAGTGGAATAGACAAGTTTTGTTCCTAGTTTTTCCCAAAGAATTTTCAAAAAATGACTAAGGAACTTAACATCCTTATCGGACACAATAGTCTTGGGTAACTCATGCAAACGGACCACCTCTTTGAAGAAAAGTTTAGCAATATAGCTAGCATCATCTACTTTGTGGCATGGTATAAAATGAGCCATTTTGCTAAAATGATCTACTGCCACAAAGATAGAACCGAATCCCCTTTGGGTCCTTGGGAGACCAAGTACAAAATCCATACTAATGTCAACCCAAGGGGAGCTAGCTATAGGGAGAGGGGTGTAGAGTCCATGAGGCATCACTCTTGATTTTGCTTGAAGACAAGTGATACACTTGGAGCAATGCCTTTGAACATCCACTCTCATGTGTGGCCAATAAAATTTACATTTTAAAAGACTTAGGGTTTTATCAACCCCAAAATGGCCCATGAGACCTCCCTCATGACTTTCTTTAATCAAAAGCTTTCTAATGGATCCTTGGGGTATGCAAAGTCTTCCCATTTTAAAAAGATACCCCTCAAGAAGATAGAACCCATCAAAAGGCTTTTCGAGGCATTTGGTGAAGGTGGATTGGAAATCTTGATCCTTCTCATACAACTCCTTTATATTATCAAATCCAAGAATTTGAGAGCCCAAGGAAAAGAGTAATGAGTCTCTTCTAGATAAAGCATCCACCAC